TAATAATAATAAAAAATAGAAAACAAAATAATTATATTAAAACAAGCCAGATAATGTTTATGTATTACATTAAGCAACATTTTGTAGAAACTCTTTTGTTTCATTATATTTATACATTATCAGATGCAGCATATTTATAAAAATGAAGACTAAAGGAGGTTCCACATATTTGATATTTGCTGATTCTCAAATAATTTCCTATTTGTACCCTTAGATTTGACACAATATACCGATAAGGAGTGGGAAACAAGGAATACCAAATATCAGTCACTAGTAAATTATCTACACTACTTAGTATTGGCTAAATGTTTGTGATCAGCTTTTGGCAAATATTAAATCTGTAGGACCACCTTAAGAAATTCATTTATAAAATTATAAATTAATTGTTATTAGACACCATAATATTGTCAAATAATTACTTTCAAATTTCAAAGCTCTACATATGAAGTATTGTAATCAGAATCAGCCCAAAAATTTGTGATATCACCCTACAGATATTTATTTCTACTTCAAATGTTCTGAGAATATATATTTCTGCTCCTATAAAGTTTATAATAAACTAATTTCTAATGTTAATATAGTAGCAAATAATTTATAGAAGCTTACTGTTGAAATAATTAAAAAATTTTTTGTAAATTTATAAAAATACTCTATCAAGTTGCCTGTGCAATTATTCCTGAATCAATCTAGTAAAAAATTATGCCCACAAAAAATTTAAATTGCTCTCAAAACAGTGTAAAAATTCTTACCAAAGAAAAACAAAAATGTTTTCATATTTTTAATTTATCTTTGCAGAACAGTCAAGAAGCAATATATTGTACATTGAAATGCATCATTCAACATTCGTTTAATTAATTTTTGTTTTGAAGTATGCATCCAAAATATAATTAAATATAAATTAAACATAAAAACAATCTGAAAATAAATCCAAAATTTTTTTAGCCTTCAACATTTCCATAATCTTAGTCCATCTTCACAAGTTACATTAAAAATTACAAATGTTATAGACCTTAAATATTTGTAAAATTATTGAGATAATTTTCATATATTAAAAATTTCAACTTTTTTTTGTCATGTTCAATAATTGTACTCTATGCAATTTCTATTATTTTCCATCAACTTTTTAAATTTTAATTTTAATTTAGTTTAAACATTAAAAAAGATTTATCTTAATTTATAAACAACATAATAGAATAACAACCTCCAGTTCAGCAACTATTATTCTATTCTATTTTCTTATAATTTAAAACTGGATGTTGGTAAATCTGAATGATTTTAAAATATTTCTGGTGTTAAAAATATCAACTTCTTTACAGATATTTCTGAATATGGATAACTTTAAAGTCTTATAAATGTCTAATAATTTTGTGATTAAGTATTATTTTCATTGATGAAATAAGTTGTTATCAGTGATTCTTACAAATAAAATCTCTACTCATGAGTGACTCCATAGGTCAAACACTGATCATCATATACTAGTAGTAGTTTGATATTGAGCTTAGTTTTTGAACAGAAAACAAGACATTGTTTATCTCAAAAAATGTTTATCAATGTTAAAGATTGCCTTCTTTAAACATTTTGCACACAGTGATCAGTGTTCTTACATATGGTACAAAATATAAATAAGCATTTGACACAAATTTTAATCAATTTAGAATAATATTTGTAATTAAAGTAATTAATAATTTCTGGTATGAATGTGAAATTATGAGCTTATTTTACTTTAATTTTAAAACACTCCTACCTTCAAATATTTTCATTTGTAGAAAAATATCCAAAGGTGACAAATTTTTTACTGTAACTGAAAATTATAAACATTATTCACAATTTATTTCCCCCAATTCATTTCATGTTATCTTGCATAGCTATACACAAGCCAGTTTAAATGTTTCTATTCCACGAGAATGTTATATATGTAGTATTAACATAATTTTTTGTTATGTTTTGGGTAATGTACCATTTAAGATAATTTTCTTACAAATTATTCAACAATAAATACAGTTCTGTTAATTAATATTTTTATTATTGTTTTAGTGGTTAATGAATTAAATAGGGTATCCCATAAGTCTAGACCAGTAGTTCCCAATTAGTTTTTCCTGCGTACCATTTCAAGAAAGAGCTCAAACTCGTGTACCCCTTATAGCAGAAATTCATATTAATCCATACTAATATTATAAATTCGAAGGTAATTCTGTCTATCTATCACCTTTTCATGTCTAAACCACTGAACAGGTTTTAATAAAATTTGGCACAGAGATAGCTTACATGTTGGAGATGAACATAGGCTACATTTTACTGCAAGAAAATATCTTACTCCCACGAGAAAATTCAATATAATGCGGGCGAAGCTGTGGGTAGACAGATAGTGATAAATAGAATAATTTTTTTTTACATTTATTACCTTCCAAATGCAATTCTAATAATAATGAAAATAACATAAGGTTATTTAATTTTAATGTGACAAATGTGCATGATTTTCTTTGCACAACTTTGTAAAATCTGGTTGCTTTTTGGTCAGCTTCAGTCTCGAGTCATCTTTGAGTTGAAGTTGGTGACAATGTTTAGTTTTCATGTTTGTCATGGCCAAAAATCTGCTCTCGCAGAGGTATGTTGTGCAAAATGGTAGTAAATATTTTATTGCCGCTTCGCTGACATGATGATAATGATAATTGTACAATTAACACAATTTAT